GCGGTGCTTGGAATCGAGGACGCGGCTGTACTGGTACTGGAGGTCGTAAAGCTTCCCAAGATGAACTCGCCCCTGTTCCTTCAGACACCATGGGTGGCGGACTCCTCGAGCGAGCATCGCCCCTTTGTGGTACTGTCACCCCCAGGGTGGGAGGCGGCCCAGGTTGTCGCGGTCGTGGCTGTCTTTGGAACTCCGTCCCCAGTGCTATGAGCTCTCTGGTCCTCCTAACTCTGTCCTCCTCAGCTCTTCGCTGCTGTAAGGCTCGCTCTTCTTCTTCATGCGCCAAGTTGAGCGCAGCTTGTGCCAGTGTCCAAACATGGCCCTCGAAGCCTGCAGACCATTCCAAAAGGCGGACGGACTCATCCGCACTACGAGGTGGTGCAGTCCGCGGCTCTTTAGGCGGAGGAAAGATGGAGTGAAGAAGAGCATCTCGGTAGCGCCCCAAAGCCTCACTCATCAGTTGTACACCCCTGGCATGTCGATGGATCGCCCACCTGGCCTGCGGACCAATGCCCATGCACTGTCGTCCCGCTTGTTCTCGGAGCACATCTTATAGGTTTAGGCTTTAGGCTTTGGAGGTTTAGGGGTGAAGGGAGGCGCGGAATGGGGGGGAAGCCGGGCCAAAAAAACCAAGAGAATTGGGTCCAGAGGTTAAAAGTCTGCTTGTTTAAATCCTGCCGACCCGTCCGCCCCTCCCGGCCCGTCCTTCCTTCTCCGTACAGTCCTTCCTTCTAGAACAATCACAGCTCAAGACTTCTAGGGTTTTCGACGCGTAATCTTTCGTCGAAGAGTGTGGTGCGTGGCTGACACGTTAACTCGAAACCAATTTACAACATGCTAAGACTCCAAAACCCAAGCTGATTGGAGAGTGCACTCACGTCAACACTTATTACTATTGGTACTGCGATTGCAGCTCCTAGTAATTACTGCTGCTATTACTGCTCCTACGCTCCTCGGTATTGATGCTACTGCTACTCCTCCTGCTGCTGCTGCACTGCTACTACTACTGCTGCTGCTGCTACTACTACTACTACTGCTACTACTACTGCTACTACTACTCCTACTACTACTACTACTGCTACTACTACTCCTACTACTACTACTACTACTACTACTACTACTCCTACTACTGCTACTACTGCTACTACTGCTACTACTGCTACTACTGCTACTACTGCTACTACTGCTACTACTGCTACTACTGCTACTACTGCTGCTAATGCTACTACTGCTGCTACTACTACTACTACTACTACTACTACTAGTACTACTGCCACCCACGCCTACGCCCTTTATTGCTTTTGTTAGCATCATGAGTCATCATGAGTCATGAAGCGAACGTCGAGTTGGACTGCCAACAGATGATACATTCCCTGACAACTTTGCCAGAGATGGGTTCAACCGAGCAAACCCTAAACCCTCAACAAGAAAGCCTAAACCCTAAACCCTAAGCCCTCTTATCCTCTTATTGACCCGCTTAGAGAACCCTTAGAGATCCCTTTAAAGGAACCCCGGTAGAAAATAGGATGCCCAATAGCTTAGGAATAGAAAAGGCTCCTTTGTGGCATTGGGCAACTTTTACAAGGAACCTGGGACTACAAAAAGGGAATCAGGGTACTACTGGGCATCCTAGGAAACCGGCCGAAACCCTCCCGGACCTTGATCCCTAAACCCTATAAACCCCTCAACCCCTAAACCCTAAACCCCTAAACCCCTAAACCCCTAAGCCCTAAACCTCTAAACCCCTAAACCCTAAACCGCTAAACCCCTAAAAAGATCTCGCCAAGCAGCCGGCTTACCAGGACCGCTGTTCCGTCGCAGAAGGTGACCTGGCAGGCCCAAAGGGTCCAAGTAACATTCAGGGTTTAGGGTTTAGGGTTCAGGGTTTAGGGTTCAGGGTTGAGGGTTCAGGGTTTAGGGTTCAGGGTTTAGGGTTTAGGGTAGGTATATGGGCCCCCAAAGTATATACTTTACTATTATTTGGACCCTTTGGGAAAGGAGGCGGTCCAACAGACGTTTCAAGTAGTGCTTTGAAACCCTGTCTGCGCCCCATAGTGAACCCCAGAAAGTTGGAACATTGATTTAGGACGATTGTTGCTGGGATTCCCGGTACTTTACTTTAATTTTAAGGGCATGAGGCCAATGATGTTCCAACTTTCTGGTTTCTACTGTAAAGTAATAGCCGCTTATAGATGTTGCGCCGTTATGGCACCTACTTTTTGGGTGGTCAGGTTAAGCCCGAAACAACTCAAATCCAAACCTAAACCGGTACACCCCAAGGGATGGATTTAAGGCTCAAATTGCTACAAACGGTTTAGGGTTAGGCTCGGGGCCCGGGGTGATAATTATCGAATCTGCCCTGATTCACCTCGAAGCGCAACAGGCCCAATCAAGACTCAGACTGGGATTCTGGGAGTGATTCTGATATGGGTGGTTGTCAAAATTATGGGCCCCTTTTTGGGGTGCCCTAAATAATAGGTGCCCTATTATAATAAGGACCCCGAGAGGGATCCCGATTTAGACAAGCACCCATATATACTATTCTAGTATCAGAGGGGTGGTCTCAAACAGCCGCACCTCCAGCTGCTTTACCCAAACTTGGAGGGTCGGGGGACTTAGTAAGTAGGTAGGTAAGTAGACTTATAAGTACCCTAAAACGGACCCTAATTGGGGTTATGGTACTTATAAGCCCCTAAAATAACCAGTTAATAAGTCTCCTAAACCCTAAACCCTTACAGAATCCCTATAGATCCCTCTAAAGGGGCCCTTAAGGAACCCATTATGTTACTAAGTCCCCCGACCCTCCAACAAACCAGCGCCTCGATTCCTCTTGGCCCATACTGTTGGGACGAAGCCCCTACTACTGTGGATGGACAAAATCCTGCATGACCCAATATAAGGAATATACGTAATTCCCATAGTTTAGGGTCCTTAAAGTCATGCAGGATTTTGTCCATCAACAGTAGGATGCCCAGGTAATTATTCAGGCCCCTATACCCTAAACCCTGAGCCCTACCCAAATGGACTCCCTCATAGTAGCCCTTATAGGAAGCCCCTACTAGGATGCCCAGAATCCTAGGAATAAAAAGGGCTCCCTGTTTGGTATCGGGTAACTTTATAAAGAACCTAGGACTACAAAAAGGGAATGAGGATACCACTGGGCGTCCTGCGGTTGATGATATAAATCCTGCATTACCCATAAGAAGGAATATCCCACAATTCCCATAGTTTTGGGTCCTTAAGGTAATGCAGGATTTATATCATCAACCGTAGGAGCTTCGTAAGCTCTAAACCCCAAACCAGAGACCCGCAACTCCCAGCTTCCCATGCGCAGGAGAAGATCCTAAGTGTAAAGGCTATTTAGGGTTTAGGGCTCGGGGTTGAGTTTAGGTTTTTCTTTTTAAAGCTCTGGGTTTAGAGTTTAGGGTTTAGGGTTTACGGTTGGGGTTCAGGGCTTAGAGTTTACGGCCCCGCATCTTGTTTGCCGCCTTCACTGGAGTTTCTGAGAGCGCCATTGCCTTCCCGTGCCAATTAGGTTCAAAGGTTACGGTTTAGAGGGGGGCTTGGTTTTCAGGGTTAGGTCTATTATTAGGGTATACGGCTCGAGTTTTCAGGGGCGGCAGGGGTTGGGGCGTTGAGGTTTTTGGGCTAAGGGGGTGGCAAGTTTATGTACGGGTCAGGACCTGGTGCAGTCTGTCAGGTTTTAGGGTTTAGGGCGCGGAGAAACAAGCGTCTATAGGAGTGCAGAAGCCTGTCGTTATGATGAAAACACCCCTAAGCTCCAAACACCTCGGCCCTGGCACCGACGGATCCCGAAACCTACCGCAAAGTGTAAACCCTAAACCCAAAACCCTAAACCCTAGTTTAGGGTTTTGGGGTTTAGGGTTTAGGGGGTAGAGAGTCGAGATGCAGAATCTTTTGTCCTCTTAGGAATGAATCAAGCAGGGTCCGTTTGGGAGTTTCCGACAATAGGGTCCCTTTTTGGGTACCCTAAACAATAGGTGCCGCATTATAATAGGGACCCAAAAAGGGGCCATAATTTTGACAACCACCCATTTGTCTTCAAGGTGTAAGGAAACCCGATCTGTAACCTCCGAAAGTAAACAGGATTCCTTAGAAGCTGCCCCCACCTTGTGATAGTGACTATAAGGATTATATTAGGGCCCTAGTATATTCCTATTATACCACTATTGCAGGGGCCCCGTCTAAAGGATTCCTGACATTGACAAGCTGCGTGTTTGAGTGTGAGGCTGCTTGCCGGTTCCTTTCTTTTGCTGCTTTTCAAGATTTTCAGGTTTGCGGTTTAGGGGTCCCCCGGCTAAAGACACCCCAACCAAGAACCCTAAGCCCGAAACCCTAAACCTCACACCTGCCCTAAGCCCTTCACTGGCATGAAGCTGTTGAATCCTCACTGGCCCAAAACCCAAGGAACTAAAAGTTGAAACTTTCAGAATCTACTACCTTATAAGAACCCCCAAACTCGTAAAGTTGAGTTTACATCCTTATACTAAGGATCCTACTTTTTGGGGTACTATATCAGGGTCCCCTATTTTCTGAAACTCCCATCTCTCCGAACTCTTCAGCCTTGTCTTCAAAGAAGTTCGATGAGGCTGTCCTGACTCAAAACGAAGTGCGGCCCCTCGAACCCTACAGTCGTTTTAGGGTGCAGGGTTTAGGGTTTAGGGCTTAAGGCTTACGGTTTCGGGTTTAGGGTTTAGGGTGGTTCTAGGGTGCAGGGTCGACTAAACCCTGAACCCCAAACTCAACTCAGACAACGAAAGGGCCAGATCATGTATGATGCGATTAATATAGCGGCCTTAATAATTAAAATAATTAGGGTTTTGGGCCCCGCTATCCAGGTTTATAATAAGGAACCCCACAATAGCATAGGTGGCTATTTAAGCTCGAATATTAAAGGTAATACTCCTGGAAGATGCTGCAGCTGCGATGTCAACCCCACCCCCGCGTTCGGTTTAGGGCGATAGGGGCTGGGATTCAACTCCTAAGCCCTACACCCCAAACCCTAAGCCCACAACCTGAAACCCTAAACCCCTAACCCTATACAATTCAACTTCTAAGCCCCCTCAAACCCAAAACCCAAAACCCTACGTAAGCCCTAAGTCCCCAAAACCCCAAACCCTATGGGATTCAACTCCTAAGCCCTACACCTAGAAGGCTCTAGGCCCAGGTTCGGGCTTCCAATTTGCTGAAGGAACAGTGCGTGTGTTAGGGACCCAAAAAGCACATAAGCATAAGCATTTTACGGGGATATCACTACCATATTGGGCTTCTTTATAATTAAGGGGGTCTATATGGGATATCCCTATCCTAATTTTTGCTCATGTGCTTTTTGGGTCCCCAATGTTGGGGTATGTCAGGCTGTCAGATTGAGGGTGTACGGCTTCAACTACCGCAGCCTTTAAACTGCTAACCTTCGGGCTCAAATTCGAAGCCCAACTGTGCTCAACAGTCCCAAACCAAAACCATTCAGGGGCCCATAATGGGAATAGGGCTTGCGGTATAGTATACTATATGCAGTTGGACACAAAAGGGATATCATGAACGGTTTGACCCGCCATATTACAACGCCTTGGAAACAAAGCCACAAGCACACGAAGAGGCCTCGAGAATTCAAGTGGCGTGCGTCGAAGGTCCCTCCAAACTTGGGCCTAAAAACTGCGGCGGCGCGCCAGCTACAGAAAGAGCCCCTAAACCATAAATCCATAAACCCTCAAAAGGAAATGTGGTAAGCGTTGGCGTCGGAGCTTCAGACGCCAAACATTTCAGAGACTCCAAAACCTCTTAATTAAGGAGGATACCTTAAACCATAGTCTTAGGGTTCCTTTTATGATTCATGGTTTACCGACTTCCCAATAAAGCCACAGAAATGCAAGATTCAGCTTTCAGATTACGACTAAACTATCACAGACCAACAAGTATAGAGGTTGGGCAGTGGAGAACTAAGTCCATGGGTGGTTGTCAAAATTATGGCCCCTTTTTGGGTCCCTATTATAAGACGGCACCTAACATTTAGGGTACCCAAAAAGGGACCCTAATTTTGACAGCTACCCGAATACCTCGATCAAGGGGTGGTGGAGGCTCTCGGTCTGAAATAATTAAACCCTAAAGCAGGGCCAACTTTGTCAGTGCTCCTTCAACTACAGTATTCTCCTTATTTATAATAAGTATATATATATATATATGTATATGCATAGACAGAAGTGATATCGGCTTAAACAGGGGCTTAGGGTTCAGGGTTTCAATGAAACCCCGTAACCCCGATTTCAACCCCTATAAACCCTTAATGAAACCCCTAGAGGGTTTAGGGTTTAGACCCTACATCAGGCCTGAAACACTAACAAAAAACACCCCGCACGAGCCGAATTGCTTTCTTCCTCGAAATCTCGGGCCCATGCGTGTAAGCCCTAAACCTCAGGGACCAAATGACCCGTAAAAGCAGGGGCCCTATGCGCATATACGATGAATCCCTACATGGTATAGACCTTACAGTAGAAGCCCAAAAAGTTGGAAACCCAATAGCCTCAACCTTTAAGAGTAATGCACAAGGAATCCCAGCACTATTTGGCCTTAGTCCGGTTTCCAACTTTGTGGGGTTTACTGTAAGTGTTTAGGCGGTTAGGGATTTAGCGGTTTAGGGGTCCAGGGCTTAGAGTACAGGGCTTAGGCTGCGTATAAGTGTGCACGCAGTGGGTGTGCCCAAGCTTGGACCGCAACCCCAAAAACCTATCAGGATACCTTCGGGGTTTGCTTCGGCATTTTTACACCATAAACTTATCTGCACTACGGGTAAGGGATGGGTTACCGTTACCTTCTACGCCCTATGCAGTTGTTTGAAGACTGGACTGATGGCTTGGGCTAGCCCTTCAGAAGTCAAACTCCACTTCAGCCTCCTATGACTTGCTGCTTTGGTGGTTTGGAGCCTTGCTACCTTGGGCTTCTTATGCAACGTGGTCACTCCCTGCTGTCTTCCTGCTTGTTCCGTTCCCTAGAAGAAACGTAGGTAAACGGAGGCTAACAACTGAACCCTCGGCAGCAACTCTTGGACCGACTCTTGTAAAGGGAACAGGGTTTAGGGTTGAGGGTTTAGGGTTGAGGGTTGAGGGTTGAGGGTTTAGGGTTTGGGTCTACTCCCCTACGCCCTAAAGGGAACTCCAGAAAGTTGGAATATGGATTAATGGTAGGATCCCCTATAATTTACCTTAAAGGGGTTACGATAATGATATTCCAGCTTTCTGGCTTCTACTGTAGGTTCTGGTGCCCTAAAGCCATTAGTGTAGGAGTTTCCGAAAATCGTGGAGTTGTATCTGTAAACGCCCCAAATGGTGAAAATAGGGGACCCTAATCTAAATAGTAGGATCTTTATTCACAGGACCCCAAAACGAGGTACCCCTAGTCTTCGGAAACTCCCATATAGAGACCTCAACAATTAAGCATATATGGACTACAAGCAAAGAATAACCCTCGGAACTATGCCTACGCCCGCCCCCATGTTACTGGTTTGTAGATCTTGCTGCTGTAGGTCGGGTGCCGGGGCTGGGTCGAGCACTCGCGACATCGGCAAAGGCAACCGGAGCAATCCGAGCAAAATGATCCTGGTTCTGACGGGTTGAAACTTGATCATAAGGGTTTAAGGTTTAAGGTTTACGATTAAGATGGCTTCAGGGTTTGGAGCTTATACAGTTATACATACATATACATATATATATATATATGGAGAGAGAGAGAGAGAGAGAGAGAGAGACAGAGAGAGAGACAGAGAGAGAGACAGAGAGAGAGAGAGAGAGTTCTAGGATTCCGGGTTCAAAGTGGCAAGTTAAAGGGCTTGTGAAGCAGGGCTTTGAGGATCCTTCAAGGGTTCTGTACTTTTTTGTCTTTAGGCTCCTTTTCGGTCACGTTGCAAAAGCCCGTTTGGGGCCAGCAAGTCACCTTCTAGTAGGCAACCACCCCTAGTGTACAGTTTAGGCTTTAGGGTTTACGGGTTAGGGGTCGAAAAGGCAGCTTATAGGGTGTAGAGTGGAGTGGTTTAGCGTTCAGGCTTGCGGGTTTACTGTGCAGCTCGAGGTCTATCAGGTTGAGGAGGCCAGCGACAAGATTGATGGGCAAACGGACCTTCGACAACAGACAGCAAACATCATCCTCATCATTGAGATGCAGTCCAACGGCACCGACAAGACTAGTACTTGGTAGGACTCAGTAGGTCGCTGTCTAAGTCTATGTAAGCATGGTGTAGTGGCCTGTAGTGTAAACCCTAAACCCACCACCCTAACCTAACCCAACACCCTAAACCCTAATCCCTAGACCCTGATCCCAAATCCCTAAATCCCCCAACCCTAATACCTAAACCCTATAATCCCTAAACCCTCATCCACTAAACCAAAAACCTCCATCCCTGAACCCTACCTTAACCCCCAAATAACATACCTATTTAAGGACTTATATAAAGAATTCATATTCGGGAACCCTAAAAAAGGTAGGTTCTTTAGGGTCCAGATAT